TTCGATAGAAAGTGACTCTAAATTTAATGACATATCGTATGTCAACTTCGGACATTTTTGCTTAAAACAAAATTGTATTTTAAATTTCAATCTAGAGTGCCATGGCAAAAACACTAATTTTTAAAACTTGGAAAATAGATTTGATCGTCTAACGCTTTTAATCTCTTTTCCTGGCCGGTTAAAAGCTTCCCAAATCGTATTTTTAATCATATCAGCATATTTAGCTCATTTTTTTAAGCATATTTAGCTCAGCATATTTAGCTCATTAGCATATTTCGAAAAAGAATTTTTACGAATTGGTACCACAATTTGGTACCACACACTTGATATTTCGATTCAAATTGTCGTTATGAATCACATTTTGCAATTTTAAATAAACCGTATTTGAAAATGTCAAAAGTTGACATTTGATATGTCATTCTGGGAGTCAATATGACCCCTACTAATAGAGGGCGCCACCTACATGTGTTTTAACTGTTTTGAAGCGTAATAACTTTTTGTACGTACCCGTATAAAACTACCGAGTGGAAAAATATACATCTCTGTGACTTTTTACGTAAAAAATATCTCTTTGTAAAAATCGCTACGAGCAACCGTTCTTAAGATATTTAGAATGGAAATAGTCAATATATGTCATTATTGACGAAAAATATACACGATGAGTAGATAGTTATTTCACTGAAATAATAAATTTGGGAAATTTTTATTTTTTTAATTTAATCATAAGCTTTTCTGCAAAAAATGATGATAAAACCGTTTCTGTTGAACTTTTGGCACAAAAACATTTCAAATTTATGATTTCAGTCTAATAACTATTTAGTCAACATGTTTAATTTATGTCAATGATGACAGGTATTGATAATTTCGATTCCAAATATCTTGAAAACTATTACTCGTAGCGATTTTTACCAAGAGACCTTTTTACGTAAAAAACGTCGTAAATGTATATTTTTTTACTCAGTAATTTTATACAGGTATGGTCGAAAAGTTATTACTCTTCAAACCAGTTAAAAAATATGTAGGTGGCGCCCTCTACTAGTAGGAGTCATATTGACATCAAAATCAAATTTTTCATGTCAAAAAACTACCAGACACCAATTTTCATCCAAATATTGACTTTACTTCAGAAATTATTTGGAAAAAATTGAGATAAAAATGAAACTTCTACACCTGTATCTCCGAAACCAAGCATTTTAGGACATACTCATATACTAAGGGCTGGCAAAGGTTAGTCTTGGGTCGATATTTCCGTCTGTAAGAAGAGTACAATGCGTTTATAATGTACTGAACAAAGAGAGGACAGTAAACACGTTGCCAAACGTATGAAATAAACCGAGAAACTGTGCACATCGCTAAGAGACGTGGAAGGTGATATAGCAGATTTGTCGCAGTTGACCGGTCTACCCAATCAATACCTTTGTAAGTACTCTGTAAAGTTCTAGGGAGAGGTGTACGTCATGCGTTCAGCTACGATTTGATTACGTCTCGTGATACTTAATTTGTTTATTTATTAACGAGTCGTTGTAATTTTCCCTCTAGCTTGAATTTTTTTAAGTGCGAGCTAGAAACACTTGCATTTTTGGTAAAAATAAGTGGAATTGAGTGGGTGGTGGATAGTGGTCGCGCTATTAGAACTCTGAATTCAAAAATCGATATCTCGAAATCTAGATTGTAGTTTGTTCAAGAACTGTGTTAATATTTCTGCTGTATTTCTTGTAAACAGTTGTCTTGTGAAAATCTTCATCAATAAAAATATTACACGATTGCTGAAAATTGCTATGCTCTAAAAGTAAATGGATGGATTGTTTACAATTTTTGAATGGAAAAAACAACCTTAACGAATTTTTCTTATGAATACAGTTCGGACCACCCTGTATATGTATTCTGCTAAATTTAACATTTTCCGTGACAAATACATCCTGATTGGAATCTAGAATTTCGTAAACAAATATTCCGATTCAATCAAAACCCGCTCGAAATCATTACGTCGATAGATATACAAAATTGGTTTAAAATTAAATGCGTACATCCGTTTTTGCATACATTGCAAATGGTTTGGTAATATTTTAGGACAACTGTATTGATAGATCGCATATTTGTTTACGTAAATATCTGTTTACAGAGGATGAGCCGGATAGTTCATTTATATTTTATCAGTTTTGCAATAATTTTAATTGAAATTTACAATACGAATACCGAGAATAAATCTTATAGATAGCAAAAAAGAGTTGTAAAAGTTACACGAGGAGATAAAACTGTACTACATATTATACTACACTTGATCAAATGATCAATAATTGAAGGGCTTGTTGTAATAACATGATAAGCCACTCAACCAGAAATTAGTTTTATTAATTAATAACTAGTGTTTTTCTTGCCTTTTATCCAACAAATTTGTTAGATAAATACTTAGCCAGTTAACCTAAACTATCTCTAAAACGTCTTCAAATTTATATTTATTAATATTTATATTTTCACATTTTTTTCAAGACTTCAAATTCTCAATAATTCAGAATTTTATATACGGATTTGTGACATATCATGTCATTACAATAAGGCCCTTCAATTTTTGTTCTTTTTTAAACGTCACAAAAGAATTAACTTTTGCGCGTGATTGACAATATAAAGAGGTAATTTTAACGCCTAGGCATAAACACTTTTTACAAAAGTATACAAATCGTATATTGTGTTATTAGGAGTGTAATGGTATTCAAAAAAAAATATATATACATATATTTTTTTTACCGAAGTAATAGTCTAATGCCCACTTGCACCGTTTGTATAAACTTTGTTTAAAGGCTAAACAGTGATTAACTATACATATTTTATTATAGTTAATCACTGTTTAGCCTTTAAACAAAATTTACACAAACGGTGCAAGTGGGCATAAGAGCTAGCAACGTTTTCGAGAAAGTATTTTAAGACGTCTGGTTCTTTGATATATCTTTTACTATGCTCTCTGGAACAGCATGCGTCCCGTCTAGCTGCCGATACCCGTTGCGTTCACTACTGCGCATCGGAAGAAGATCCTATATTTTTTATTAATTTAGTCCTATAAATTCTAGTATTGAATATAAATAGAACATGTCTCCATAGCGCAGTGCGTAGAGTTTCCGACCACCAACCGATGATTCAGAGTTCGAATCCGGGTCAGGGCAAAGACTTTTTTATTTTATTTTCGTTTATATTCTGAAAGTAAAGTATTAAATAATTCTGGTAATTAAAAAAAACAAATATTTATTACTTTACTATCAGAATATAAACGAAAATAAAATAAGAAAGTCTTTGCCCTGACCCGGATTCGAACTCTGAATCATCGGTTCGTGGTCGGAAACTCTACGCACTGCGCTGTGGAGACATGTTCGATTTATATTCAATACTAGAATTTAAAGAACTAATAAAAATATAGAATCTTCTTTCAATGCGCAGTAGGGAACGCAACGTATACCGGCAGCCAGACGGGCCGCATGCTGTTCTAGAGAGCGCACTAAAAGATATATCAAAGAGCCAGACGTCTTAAAATACTTGTTTTTCCCACGTTGCTAGCTCTCGTACTATAAGGGGAGTGTAATGAAGTCCGTATATTTTTTTTACTTAATCTGTTAAATGCTAGGCGTGAACATAAATCGAACACGGCACGATAGCTCGGCGCGAAAGTATTTCGCTGGTACACCGAAGAGCCAGGGTTCGATCCTGCCTCGGGACATAACTTTTTTTTATTTCTTTTATCGTTAATATTCTGATTGTAAAATAGTTAGATATTTGTTTTTTTGATCACCTGAACGGATAGCGTTTGTGGATTTATGAACCATACTGTATATAAGTAGAATTTGATATGTTTATTTGTTTTGAAGGATTATGGTAACAAATAATTCTTAGACAAGCTTAGTATGGTTTATTTTTATTTTTAGAACTGTTATGATAGTCTAAAACCGAAAAATATTTTTAATACTAAAAATTATTTGCTGATAAAATTGTGTTAAATATTTCGTCGATTTGCATGGATACGTTGAAGTTTTTTTTTGGTACAAACAGCAAATGGTTTTTTGTAGAATCGACGGGTAAAAACCGTTTTTTTACTGTAAGGAATCTTGATGGGTCGTAAGGACGATGGTAACCGAACGTGGTTCGTGGTTCCCGACGGGAAAGATTAATTAAGCGACGGGAGCGCGAAAACGGGGGCCTTCCTGTTGAGACTAAGTACCGGTGATCTTTACTAAGTAAACCTCGTGAGTTTAAGTCAATTCTGATCCGTTATTTTTTTTATCAGCGCTGCTGTAAAAAAACGAATTCTTGAGTTTTAAAGTAAAAGTACCGTATCTCCGTTTTTGATTTTAAATAAGTATAAATCGTGGTCCTAGAGATTTGATTTAAAATAAGTGTAAACCGTATTTCTGATTTATGAGTATAGATAGTTAAAAACCGAGCGTTTAGTTTTTTTATAACTGACCGTGGATAATTAGTGTGACCGGATTCCGGGCTGCTGTAGGCGATTCAGACTGTTTCGGCACAACCAGACCGTTTCGTTTTGATCCGACGCCGATTTTCTTAAGTTTTCTTTATACCTGACCGTGAATAATTAGTGTGATTCCGGATTCAGGAGTCAAAGTGATATTTTTTGTGGCGAGGTTGTACGTTTGACATACAGGTGGGGCACAAAAAGTAATTTTTACTCCGAGTAGAACATGCTATTTTTTCCAACGCCCACAAATAATTTATTAAACAATTTCAAACGTTCCAAATAATATAAAAAGATTTAAAATAATACCTCGTAAGTAATTATACGAGTATATCCAGAAACTATTAATATTTTTGTGACGTTAGAAAAAAATTATTTCTGACCTTTGAAAAAAAATAGCATGTTCCATTCGGAGTAAAAATGTACTTTTTGTGCCTCACCTGTAATCATTGAGGCTGTCAAATGTACAACCTCGCCATGAAGGTATACTATTTTTGTCTGGATATATGATTAATAAAGTTTTTTTCTTTTTTCTTTTCAGGAATTAGGAGGCAATTAAATTGAAGATAGAAGGTAAGTTTTGTTCAATTGATATTCATAAGTATCACAGGATTTAATAAGTTATTGCCCTTCAGAGTTGATACATTTTGTAGAGACCAGTTAGACCTACTATAATATTGTCAAATTTTAAAATTAAGTAATTGGCGCTTATCAAGTTTTTCCCCTAGAACCTTTAATTATAATAATTTTAATGTTTTAACGCCAAGATGTTGGTCTATTATTTTGATATTTCCACTTATAGTCCAAGAAAGTAGGCCTTTAAATACAAAATTTTGGTAAAAACTGGTATTTTTGATGTAAGTTACTTTAAGAGATCTAAAAACGAATTGTGAAAGATTTTTTCTTAATTCACCCCCGGGAAGGGATGAAATAAATAAATAAAATGACTTTTTCGAAATTTCGGGGAAACGGTAAGAACTAGAATGTAGAGGTTTGTATATCTGAGATAGCTTTGTTTTTACAGTAAGGTGTGTATATTATTTGTCTCAGTAACAGAGCATCGTAAAATTTTATTTTATTTGAATATATATCCCTATAAAGACAAACTCTATAACTGAAACAGAACAAGCAAATATCGCTTAAATTTAAAATGAGTTCTTTGAGAAACAGGATAAAGCCAACCGAATCAAATAAAAAATATATTTATTTGGTTTTGTTTTCCCGGCCTCATTTCATTACGTTTTGCCTTTGTTCGGTTTCTCATCAATGAAATATAACAAAAAAACAAAAACGCAGCCGTCGACAGAAGACAAAAGATTTTAACATGTAGGGCGAGCTTCAATCCAATTTTCTTTATTTACAAGTTCGATATGGAGAGAAAAAGTCGTTTTATATTATTTAATTTCAATAGAATGTATTTTCGTTGGAATTAAATTGAACAGCGTCTATGCATTTAATTAATAGCTAGGTAAATAAAATACTGGCCTAACCTAACCTAACAAAACAAATGCAAAAAAACTTTAAGTGGTGATTCATTGTTAAAAATAAATAGTAGTTTATTATACAGGATTATTCACCACATACGATACGGAGTATTGTAGCTAAACGATTAAATTTTAACAAATTGTAAGTTTTGGGTTCGTTGAACGACTGTTAGAGCTACAATTTAAAAATATTTTGACAAGATACAGTGGTTTCAAAATAAATAAAAATGTCAAAAAGTTGTATTTTTTAAATGGAACACCCTTATTACATTTTTAGTTTCTGGGATTAAAATAAATAGGTTTTATTTTAACATAATATGTATTTATTTTTAGATTTATTTTCCTTTAACTAAACGTACAAGTACCTTGTAAGAAACCAATTAAATTTGGTCGCGTCTTAAAAAAAATCGACGCAATATTTTTAGATATTGACCTCCCTACAATAATAACCACGAGCCGCCACTGCAGGTAAACGATAAAGATTCCGTTAGTTTTATGTCGCAGGTAAGGCGTTTTGTGTTATATTTATAAAACATTTAGTCTATATTTTTGATGATTAGAGGAAAATATGTTGTTTATAAATATTTAATTTATTAAAAACTGTATATCATATTTTGTTCGGTTGTGAATATTATTTTATTTTTTGTTATTGAAGAGCGAGACTGATCTTGGTCTTGGTCTTGCATAAAAAAAGACCAGAAAAGCCTATTGGAAGACTTAGGCAGGACCATTGGTATCAGTTATAGTGAAATAACCAGAGATTTATTAGTTTCCTGTTTAAGGGAAAATTTAATAATTATTAACAAAAATTATCTCAAAAAATTATAAATAAATATAATTTCAATAAAAATATAAAAGAATTAAAAAGCAATTTTAAATTATTCGACAGTATAAATCCATTTAATAATTGTTGTTTGTTGTTACTATTTGTACAAATACAAGCCACCAAGAAGTTGGGTCCGTTGAATTCTCAGCCCAATAAAGTTTTTTTGCCTGTAAAGTATTTTTAGTTAACGTATTTTTTTTGCTGCTAGGGGTAATATAAACGGGGTCTGTTTACGCGGAATTCGAACCGCGATTCTTGGCCATATCTTTGTTAATGAAATCAGTATTTATATATTTTAGTACATTGTTTCAGTGGCAAAACATCCACCTGTTTCAAATATCAAATATCTTATTTCGATCTTAATAGGATTTATCCCCGAACTCTCTGATATTAACGAAATTATCAACGGTGCGCGGTTAATCTGTATCAAGATCCATAATAGATTAACAGTGGCCCTGTATAATACCCACGGGGAAAAGCGATTTCTAAAATAAGCAGTCAAATTTCAATTAACTTCTGGCTGTTGGGACGGAAATTACATTTAACCACCGAAACCAATCAGTCTATGAATATAGAGTTCCATCGCAAATGATATTGGCATGGCGTGGGGTTTTAGGTTCTATTTTTATATTTTTACTTAGCATGATATTTTTTTTTATAAAGTTACTGGTTTATATATATTTCATATTTGGATCTTTTTGAGTCTGATTTTAATTAACACTTTTTGGTCATATGTAAGTCATATGGTCAATATTTAAGTCGGCACTTCGCGATGTTCGGCAGTTGAAACGGTAGGCAATGAGTAAGCGCTTGTTGATCACGTGAAGCACAGAAAAGAGATGCATTGGAAAATGACCCTTGTTGTTTCAGTATTTCTGTTTATGTAATGTTTATATTTTGCGCAATGTTGGGTTATTATGTTTGAACTTTGTAAAATATTGAAATTATTTTTAAATCGAAAGAAAAACGTTCGAAATCTTCACAATTCCAAACCTAACCTAGAATCGAAACTGACAGTTTATAATGACGGTCGTGAGAGGAAAAGTGATAGCGGTCGTGTTGCCATAGCTACTCCGTTCGGGGTAGATCTATCCCTTTGCAAAATAATTTAACCCCGCTATTTCGTGATAATCTACCCCGATGAAAAATAAGTTTATGACAACACTGGGTAGCGATTTGTGCCCATACCGCGGCTAAGAAAATCAATATAACAAACTTGATACTGTACCAACATTTATGAGTACCAATATCCTTTGGTTGTGTGCTAGGAAATAAATTTTCATGCATATTTTCATCGATAGGTTTGTGGCTTCTGAATAACGGTCTAGGTAAGGCATTAGCTCATTTGCCAGCTGAGAATTAGAATTTAGAGTTAGTAACTCGTATTTTCATTGGAGGATACTGTCATACTTATTTCAAACCAATAATAGAGAATATGCGTATAATTTAATAAAATTACTGTAAATCACTAAATAATGAATAAAAATCAAAACATTTAAACAAAAACAGACTTTCCCTTTAAATATGCGCACATAGTGCACACGCTATTTTTTTATTTTGTAGATTTTCTTCTAGTGGCAAAAAACTTAGAAGTATTTTCAATAAAATGATGGTATTTCAACGAAAATTTTATTTATAATAATTAAATATGTTTATTTGATATTTTTAACTAATAATTTCACGTAATATAGAACTTGTAGAACTTTAAGGAAATATACATTTTCTCTTTGATATAGTTCAGTACTAATTATTATTTATTTCTTCAACATAACATTATTTAAATATCAACATCTAATCTTTAATTAATAACTTTATCTTATTTGAACAGTTAGGGCACAAGGATTGATAATAGCCCTAGGCCATATTTCCCCGCAGTTTGGATTTTCAAATTGGCGACCCTGTTCATATTAATTAAGTAAATATATGCTGTTTAGCGTGTTTGAGTGCCAAGGGTCCTTAAATCTATATTAGCGCCAGGGCTGCAGTCAGTAATATCATTTTATAGACAAAGTGGTTGGGGAATGGTAAACATTTGAATTGCTTTGAGGCGGAAGTTTGGAGGTGTCGCTTGATTTTCTAATAAACGAATTTGCCTAACAGTCAAAAAAATGCTTAACGTTTCGGGTCGTTAGAAGCAAAAAAACAAAAAGAAAATTCCTGGCCTATTTTAAATATTTATTTTACATAAAAACTTCGTTATTACGTTATACATACAACACTATGTACTTTTTAAAATAAGTCGAAGCAGATTTAAATGCTCTTTCAAACTATAATATATTAGGGTTTCCAATACCTATCTGGCACAGATTTTGAATAAAAAGCGGGTTTTCAATACAGTAAGTATTTATTATTTTATAAAGAAAAATAAAGAAATAGTTCTTTGATTTATACTACCATGACTTGTAGATATATTGGATTTTCTATAAAAGAACCAATTAAGGCAAATTCATTTTCTTCGCTTCGACGACAGGTTTCTGCCTAATAGGATTTTCATATACCACACTATAAGCTCTGCGAAATAGGAAAAGTAGTTTTTCAAAGGAATGCTTGTCAAGAAAATTCCTGTATGGTTTTCTTTTAGCATAAACCCTTCATGCAATTGTCTTCACAAAATAAAATCACTAATAACTATATCCATTCCTTCCGTCAGCAGATACTGCTTCATTTTTCTTGATAAAATAATAAATACTTTCTTATTAACTGTAGGTAAATTAAATTAAAATAACATGTTATAAATTTAAATAAAGCCCATAAACTAATATCGATTTTGAAAAGAGCTACTAAGTGTCACTAAAAGATTGTCATGGCGACACCAGCCATCTTGATTACAATTTTATTGAAAATTGCTTTATATTCAAAATTTGAGCCAGATTAGGGGAAACCCTAATATAGTTTGAAAGAGCATTTAAATCTGCTTCGGCTTATTGAAAAAAGTACATAGTGTTGCAATTGAAATAACGAAGATTTTATGTAAAATAAATATTTAAAATAGACCAGCAATTTTTGATACCCCTGTATACATTTAAGGAAGCAATCAAATTTTTTAATAGTTTATTTTTCTGGGTTGAAAGTCAGCACAAGAATTAATTCTGAAAAGTAATGTACAAGGTGTTGACAAACTTTTTTATTATAGTATGCATATCAAATATCTTTAAATATCTCAAAAACCAAAGCTTTTAAACATATTAAACCCTTATAATAAATGCCTTATTTTAAGCTCAAGAATCCAAAAATGAAACAAAATACCGGGTGTTCCATAAGAA